GAAAGGGAAACAACGCACAAGGAAACCAATCGGCACGACGGGAGATGTAGGGAAATGACTCGCGACGAAAGAACGGGACATGCGTGGAAAATGAAGCGGACATACCGAGAAAATGTCAGGGACATGAAGGGGGGGTTGAACGGCATGGAAGGTACAGGACCAGGACATCATGGGAAACGTGAAAAGGACATGAAGGGGAAATCAAGGGGAAAGCCAGTAGTGAGATGACAGTTCCGGGTCATGCAGGGGCAGGTGCCCGGAACTCAGGGGGGGACGTGACGCTGCAATGCAGAGAGAGACAGAGAGAGAGAGATTGAGGAGAGAGAGGCTTGGGGGGATGGGGAGGATGGGGAGCAGAGGGAGGGAGAGACAACAGAACGCACGAGGAAGACAAGGGAGAGAGTAAGAAGGAGAAAAGGGAGAGGACAATGTCGGCGGACTGAGCCGGAGGCTCTAAAGTTTAAAAAAATGACTGATTTTACAACTATTTTTTCTAATTCAATAGAAATAATAGAAACATTAAGAAGATGAGAAAAATTAGGAAAAATAGGCCCCAACATTCCGGAAACCTAGCCTCCTCCAAATAATTAAGCAAAAAATAGTAACATGACTGATTTTCCAGCCAATTTGTCTCATTAATTAGAAAAATAAAAACAAAAGCAAAAACATGACTGGTTTTCCCGCTATTTTAAAAAATGGAATAAAATGACTGATTTGGCAGCCATTTTTTCTCATTCATTGAAGAAAATATAAGAATTAGAAAAACATGATTGATATTCCTATTTTTTAATTCCGGCTGGACCCGGACACTTTGAAGCGCAAATGAAAAGGAACTGGAAAGGAAATATGGAAAGGAAACAGAAAGGAAATGCAAAAGGAAAGGAAATGGAAAGAAAATCGAAAGGACGTGGAAAGGACATTTAGAGGAAATGGAAAAGAAATGAAAGGAATCGGAAGGAAATGGAAAGGAAACAGGAGCGACATGGAAGGGGAATCGAAAGGAAATGGAAAGGAAATGGACATGGATTGGACATAGAAAGGAATGGAAAGGAAATGGAAAGGGGCAGGCTCCGTAATTGGTTTCATACAAACTTTATCAGCAGTGAGCCTAGAACCGCCAAGCACAAACGTGCCCTTTCCTTTCCATGTCCTTTCCATTGTCTTTCCATTTTCTTTTCAAACATCCATTTCCTTCCAATTTCCTTTCTATTTCCTCCATTTCCTTTCAATGTCCCTTTAATGTCCTTCCATGTCCTTTCCATTTGTTTTCCTTTTCTATTTCCTTTCCAGTTCCTTTCCTTTTCCTTTTCATTTGGGCTTCAACGTGCCTGGAATCCAGCCGAGGCAGGCTCGGTAATGGATTCTATACAAAACTGTATCGGCAGTGAGCCCCGACTTGCCAAGCACAAACGTTCCCTTTCCTGTCCATGTCTTGTTAGTTGTTGATTGTTTCTGTGTTGTTGATTGTTTTTGTTAGTTGTTGATTGTTGTTGTGAGTTGTTGATTGTTTTTGTTAGTTGTTGATTGTTTTTGTTTGTTGTTCATTGTTTTTCTTGTTGTTGATTCATCGCCCTCTTCTGAGCGTCCCATGATGAACATAGAAAAGCATGATGGGTTTTCTAGCTATTGTATCCAACTGATACAACCATTAGAAAACAATGACTGATTTGTCAACTAGTTTTCTCATTAATTGGAAAATGACAGATTGTCCAGCTATTCTTTCTATCTAGTATGCTGATTAATTGTGAGATCAGTATACGGCTACTGGCAGGATCAACCAGCAGGTTAGGAATAGAAAGGACATAAAAAGGACATGGAAGGAATTGCAAAGAAACGGAACGAAACGGATCGGACAAGAAAGGAATTAAATGGACTTAAAGTAGAATTAAAATGGAATGGACATGGAAAGGACTGAAAAGTAGGGAACACAAACTCACCCCTTCAACCTCTGTTCGGGGAGATTTACACCAAAAAAAAACACTTTTCCGGCTTGGTTGGCCTTGGTCACTTCATTAGAGAGGAGCGAAAAGGAATGGAAACACAAAAAAGGAAAGAAAATGGAAAGAAGTGGAATCAAAATTGGAAAGGAAATGGATAGGGAAAGAACTAGACAGAAATACACGAAATAGAAAGAAAGAAATGGATTTGAAATGGAATGGACATGGAACACACATGCAAAGGAGTGAAAGGAACATGGAAAGGGACGGAAAGATATAGGTATATTTTTTGAGGAAATGGACATGAAACTCGCCCTGTCCAAATTCGTGGCACGGAAAATTGCGAAACGAGCACGTGTTTGGCCCGGGCTGGCCTTCGGCACTTCTAGCTAGGAATGGAAAGGAAGGAAATGGAATTAAACGAGCGCGTGTTTGGCCCGGGCTGGCCTTCGGCACTTCTAGCTAAGAATAGGAAAGAAATGAAGTTAAAATGGAATTGACATGGAATGGAAATGGAAAGGAATGACAGGGAGGGAAAGGAAACTCGCCTCTTCAGAACTCTTTTGAAAGAAGTTGCAAAATGAGCAGTTCCTTTCTTCCTCCGCTTTTACCCAGGATATAGGTAAGAGATCCCAAGAGCTGATATTAAAACAAGCTATCCATCGCTTCGCTAGCTGCCACAACCTTACGACTGAGGAAGAAGTAAATCCTAATGTATAAGTATTATGTCTCTATATCTGTCCTTCTCATAATCCTTCTCATGCCAACAAAAAGAATTAAGATTTGGAGAAGGAAGGACAGATAGGTGACTAGGAGATCCTCTATACAAGCCTTATAAATGCGAACGAAGATATCCAAAAGTAGATTTAATATGCTGTAGATCCCGGTCTTAAGCCGCTGTGTGGGGGGCATCTTCCAGAATATCACACACATTGGTTTACATTTATAAGTATTATCTATTTGATTTAATAGCTGTATTTTGTCTCGCCATGAATATCACCTATTTATTATTTACTTGTTTCATCGCTGTGTCTTGTTTATAGGAACTCTATTCCTTAAGATCTTAGTGCTAGGACTGTAAGCGCTTCAAAGATGGGAGATGCATCCAAAAGCGTTCATTCTCTGTCTCTTTCCTGTCCTTTTACTGGTATGCTTCTTGGAAATTCCAGAGTCATAACTGTTGCAGCTAAACAAAAGCAAGATAACATTAATCATATGAACGAAGGGACATCTCCTTACCTTGCAACCCCTCTTTCCCTTAGTAATCACGGCGGTGAGATAGGAATGAGTTAGGATAGGATAATATTGGGACATGGGCTAGACCTTACCTTTCATGCCATTTGGCCCGGGCTGGCCTTGGGCACTTTTCCATCTCCGTTTCTTGTCTATTCCATTTCTCTATTTGTTTCCATTTCCTTTTCAACGGCTGTTCTCCCTTCTCTTTCCTTTCCATTCCCGTGTATTTATTTGTTTATTTATTTATTTATTTATTTAAAAAAAAAAAGGAAAAAAACATGATCGGTTCCATTCCTTTGTGTTTTCATGTTCTTTGCACTTTCTTGCTATTTCTTTCCATTTCTTTGCTTCTCCTTCCCTTTATTTCTATTCCTTTCCACTCCTTTCCACTCCTTTCCATTCCCCTTCATTCTTAGCTAGAAGAAGTGCCCAGGGCCAGCCCGGGCCGAAAAAGTGCCCGTTTCGCAATTGTCAATGTCAATAATGGTGAAGCAGCAGGTGTCAATTTCATTTCTTTGAAATTCCTTTTCATGTCCTTTGCGTTCCTTCCATATCCGGCTCAATCCTGTCCATCTTTCTTTCCACTCATTTTCATTCCTTTCCATTCCTAGCTAGAAGTGCCCAAGACCAGCCCGGGCCGAAAAAGTGCTCCTTTCGCAATTGTCCATGTCAATAATTTTGAAGCGGCGTGGTTCCTTTCCATTTCTTTAAGATTCAGTTTCATGTCCTTTCCGTTCCATATTTGTTTCATTCCTTTCCATATGTATTTTGATTAAATTTATATTCTATTCCTTTGCTTATATTTCCTTCCTATTTCCTCTCCTGTCCATTTCTGTGACTTTCTCTCCCTGTCTTGTCCATTCCTGTCTATTCCTGTCCATCCCTTCCTTTCCATTGCTTTCCATTGCTTTCCATTCCCAGCTAGAAGTGCCCAAGGCCAGGCCGGGCCGAGAAAGTGCTCGTTTCGCAATGTCCACTCCTTTCTTTTTCACGTCCTTTCCATTTCTTTCCAATTCCTTGTCATGCCTTGTTTCCATTGCTATTTCTTGCTATTACATTTGCAATTGTGCTTCCATTAGCTTTCATGTGTTCCAAATACTGTTTGTTCCATGACGTTTCTATCGTGACTGTTTCCTTTTCATTTCGCTCCATTCCATGTCGGTTATTCTTTTCTACTAGATTGATTTTGTTACAAAGCGTGATGCTACGCCACTGATGTATCTCGTAAATTAGGAAACGTTAACTATCATAAGCAACGGAAAAAAGAAAACATGGAGATGTACACTTCTTGCATCGAAACAAAACAGAGGATGCGTTTGTGCTTCATTCACTAAATTGATCTCTTTCATTTAAAGAGATCTCGTTTCTTACACGCCACGCACGCGCGCTGCAATCTTCCCAACCACGGGGGGGGGGGGGTGCCGCATGATGATCGAAAAAGTGATGATTCAATTAGGGGTAAACAATCTAAAAAGGAGCGCGGGGGGGTTGTTGGGTAGGGGTGCAAAGCGGGGTGGGGGGCACCAGAGAGGAACTGGCGATGTTGAGGATGCAGGAAGCCAAGGCCAAAAACCAACTGGGAAAGCAGAGGATGCGAAAATCCAGAAGCCAGAAAGCCGCCAAAAGAGATACCTGCCAGAGAGGAACTGGTAATGCAGCGGATGCGAAAGGCCAAAGCCGCAAAAGCCAAGCAGAGAGGAACTGTGAATGCAGAGGACGTAAAAGCCACAAAAGCCAAAAAGCCGAAAAGCCACCCACCCTGAAAAACAAAAAAACTAAAATAAATGGCCCATATATCATATACCCGCCAGCCGCAGGACTCCCTGCAGTGCATGGCCATCCTGACAGACCGCGGCGCGCACCACCTGCGAATGGGCGCAGACTTGTTTAAGGGAATACGCATGTCAAAACATGTTGGACTCTTCACGTGGCAGCCGGTTCAAATGAGCTTTAGCTTAACATCTGTCACGCCCTGCTAGATGCATCTTTTTGCGGAGCTTGGAAACTATGAGAGCCTCCAGCACTTTGAAGTGGCTTAAATGCTGGATTGCATTCAAATGAGCTGTGTCGAGCAACACGACTCAAAGCCGCTCTCGCCAGTGGGCAGCACTTAAGCCACGTGTCAATATCCTGGCCATTTGGCCTTGCCTACGTGGCAAGCACCTCTCACGAGCGTGTCTCCCCCAACACACAGACTGCACATTGAAGAACGCGGCAGTCAAGCGTGCAATAGCATCTCCAATTTGCAGTGAGAGAGTCCACACTCGGTTGCCATGGGCTGATGCCATCTCAGATGGGCATGTTGGGACCTTGGCAAAGGCCGAATTGATTGGTTCACATACTTCACGTGAGTACGACTGGACCCACGGAAGTTTGAGCAAGCAACTACCATGCTAGACGAAAGACGCGGAACCAAGAGCATGTCGTACTAAATCCATGGCTTTGTACAGAGTGCCTAAGATTGCTCATATGCCTCGTACGTGCAAGGGCTCCAGCCGAAAATGCCTGCGGCCACCTTGGTGCCACGAGAATGGTCGTACCTGCGCATTCCCGTCCGTAACGACATGCAGAGGCTGGCAACATGAAGCTGGCGCACGTGTTGCCCCAGAAGAAGCACGCGGTCTGAGTCCAAGTACATGATGAACATTGCAAATGCGTGTTTCGGCGGAGACTGGGGACTCTGAAAATGGCTAACGGCTACTTCATGTTTTTTGCAGAGCGCACTGGGTTTAGCACCTTGCCTGGACTTTGGGCACTCTTATCTTGAAAATAGGGCATATATACATGCAGCTACCGCGTTCCTGACGGGATGGCCGCCTCTCACATCACGGTTTCAGGAACTTTCCCGTGTGCAGCAGCGTTGGCCGCCGTACACCAAGCGGATTGCCAGCACCGTGGCGGCTGCATGTATTGCAGCCACCACCTGCAGCTCTGGCCGAAATGCGTCGTCCCACGTTTTGTTCTGCGGGTAGTAGTTGGCCATCGCGTACAACAAGAAGTAGAAACCCTCCACCATGCCATAGAACAGCCCCACTCCGCGCGGGATGAGCAGCTTCACAAGAACCTCCCTGCACTGCGTCAAACGTGCGAGCCAGCGCGACCTTCAGCGGTACTCCGGCAAGCCACCAGGAAACCAGAAGGATCCAGAAAGCAAGTGATGTGAAAGATCTTCACATAGGCAAGCAAGTGATCTTCGGAAAGGACTCGACAGGCAAGTTCGTGAAGGGGAACGATGCTGGCAAGCTCCACGGCACAGGCGTGCAGGCACCCACCATCCATGAATAGGTCAGGGCAAAAGGCCCCAATTGACTCTTTCAAGGATGGGAGCACTCGCAAACGCACAAACTCATCAAAGGCTTCCACAGAGCCAAACCACTCAGCGATGCATCTCTCCAGCAGGATGCGATCGCATAGGACCGGCACCAGTCCTTCTATTTCTTTGGCCCGTGGAGTGGAGGCCATCAGTGCCAACACCGGGGGCGCGTGCAGAATCTGGCTCGGTGCCTCTGGCTCTGCATCCTCTGGCTCCCCAGCTTCCCCGGCTTCCAATTCGGGACGCTCCCCGCAGACTTTGTCCGCAGCTGCTGACTACCTCTGGCCAAGCATCATGAGCTTCCGGGCACTTGGCGAGCGGCTGGGCCAGATCAAAACATGTTTACTGGCTTTAACCCAGATGAAGATCCATGCCATGCCATGTGCACTGCGGTGCTTAGCAGCGGACAGATGTGCCGATGAGGGCGAACCAGCCCCAGCCCATGCTCGGGTACACGTCATTGTAAGCTGCACAACAGGGCACAAGCGGCAGTGACTGGAAACCTGCTAGAACAACTGATCTAGAACAACTGATCCAGTGGCTTCATGGCACCTAGAATCAAAGATGCCTGCAGCCCTGCTTAATTGTTTGCACCTACCAGTACCTCGTACCTAACCTGCTAGCACGAATGGCAAGTGGAAAGCTCCTAGATCCCTCAAAAATAAACATCTGGCAGCTTGGTGGCCGCTGGCAAGACTTACCTTGCAGAAAAGCGCCAGTCGTGCGGTGGCGTGTAACCATTCAGCAACAGGGACAATCCATCTTGATGAAGCCAGTCCCACAACTGCCAACATGACAAACCAACAAGGCAATCTGACGCGGTGTGATGTTGCCTCATTTATTGAAATGCTTAAAGCTGGCAAAGCGGCAGGCCAATTCAAAGCCATGAACAGTTATGGAGAATGGTCGCTCCATCCCCGTTGCAGCCTTCTGGGTCAGGGTTGCGAATCCTGCTGCCCGGCCTCCGAATGGCCCGGTCGCTCAATATAGAAACTATGCTGCCAAAGCCTGTTTTGCAAGCCTCCGATGTGCCACAAAGCTTGGTAAATAGGGGAAATGGCGAGGCGCGTGTTTCAGCTGCACTGAGAAGGGTACACGCCCAGGTTGAAATCGTAGTCGCCAAGCTTCGGCTGTGACATGCTGATGCTCCTAGTAGGGGCTGCTGACTAACTTCCCGCCAACCAATCGCAGAACGGTCACTCCTTGCCGTTCCTGTGAAAAGAGCGGGAGTATGCGTTGCCTGACAGCAAAGCACTTCATAAGTGCTGTGCACCACAAACAATGTAAAAATGTGGTCCGCGACGGAACAAACTGAGACTTGCGCTTGTACAAATAGATTGCAATCACAGGATTCCAGAAGGGTCAATCTGGAAGCGCTGATGTTCTCAGCTGACTCTAGAACATGTCATTTTTCCATTCCCAAGGCCTGCTTCCAGAGAGGTCCCAGCGCTCCACGAGCTGAGCACGAGGCAAGCGCATGCCCTCACGGTGCCTACAAAAAAATCCTTGCCATGCTCAGCCATATTCAGCTGGTCCAATACTGTAAAAATGTTCAGAATCAAACGCTCTCCCAGAGAGCCTTTTCATTGCCTGCAATCTCAGACTCTGGCCTGCAGTGCGGCTCAGCATAGTCAGAACCATGGCCTTGGGAAGCAGTGCGGACTCTGACAGCCTCAGTGTAAGCTCAGCCAGCACAAGCAAGCAAGCCCGGCCACCAGTCACCCAAAACATTTGGGGGAGGGAGGAGGAAAGTGTCAACTAATAAATACTTTGATGAAGTACTTGAGTACTTGATGAGGAACAGTCCACGATCAGTGATTTTGAAACAAGCCTCAGAATGCAACTGTGTGAACAAAATAACTGGACAAAAACTCAAGATCCTGGATTCTCAGATAAGGAAAACAAGTCAGGACCGGTCTGCCTCAAATGCAAAGCTGAGGCTCCGGACGGACTGTGAGCAAACGCAAGAATGCAAGCTCGTTGCTGATAGCTGCAGAGTCAAGCAATACCACCAGGTCATTCACTTGCTCATACGTGAAAGATGTGACGGCCAACTGCATGTTTTCCATCGAGACATTACTGCACAACTCGTGTTCCCCTCGAGCTCTGCAAGGCACCAAAACACAGTTGACAAACACTCGATAGTAGCGGTCCTTGCAATCAGCACAGTCCTGGTCACTTCTTGTTTCCAAATGTCTTTACGTCACGATTCTGCATATTGAAGAATGCCTCACAGCTGACAAACACGCTTCAGCCGGTGAGACATCAGTAGGCTCTGCCAGCGGAGTTCAAGGAGCGCCGCGCATGAACTTCTGCTGGGGCCGGCTGGTACCAAGTCTCTCTCGGGGATACACGCTATGCTTTGCATTCGCAACAAGTAGCAACTAGAAAGCAGCAGTCTTTCTGTATCTTCTTTCCTTCCAATCCGGTGAACAGCAGCATTCCGTACACTCTTGCTTGGCATGAAGGGGGGAATGAACCATAGAATGCTCCTCATCTGAGCTGGTGCTTTCAGGATGGAACAGGCACGTGAAATTCGTGTTTGAGTGCAGAGGAACATCTTCAGAGTTGGCTGTCTTTTTTGCGCAAGACTCCTCTGCACCGTCTCTCGGATGGGGCGGGTTTGACGGATCGTCCGTCCCATGGTTTGCCTGGTGAGACGCTTCGCGCATTTTCTTGCAGGAAGCACCTAATTTTGGGTGTGACACTCCTTCTGTTCGCTTACATTGCATGATGCTCTATGCAAAACCAGAGCCATGCTAGGAGCAGCTAAAATTCCTCTAAGTAGAACTGAATAAATCAATGCATCTGACGGCCGCCGGTTTCTCGCGCACGACGCAAACTGCATATCTGTGTAGGAATCAAGCCTGGCCTTTGCTACCCTGCTGCGTAATCTCCACACTTAAATGTTGAAGCCGAGACTGTGCCTGGCCAGTCACAATTCTGCCTACAGAGAATTCTGCAGCGAAGTATTCACACGCTGGGGGTTGTGCTTTCACGCCGTGCCACTCCCTTCAAATTGGAAAGGATAAAGATTTCATGAAGCTACCGCCTGAGGAGTGGCATGTGTCCCAAGCATTATCCCCTTATAAGCTGCATGTTTGTCGGCAAAAAACTAAAGCCCACCAAGCAAATGATGCCTAAGCCGAGGACCATCTCTGTCAGAGACAGTCATCCAACAGGAGGCACTTTGCGGTACCAGAGCTCCACATCCAATCTGGATTGAAGCTCGTGAGAAAAGGATTGGAAGTCTCCACGTAGTCTTGGTGTAAAAACCCTGCCCCAATTGGCCCAATTGGCGCAATTCTGTTGAAGCGTCAAGGCAACCGTACTTCAAACGGCACAAAGACCTTGGTTGCGCTGTCCAGTCCAAAGATACAGTGGCCAAAAAGACGTCGCTAAGCAAGTTGCTCACAACCTCTAGCGTGCATGACCAGCGGCCTTGTCAAGATTTTGTCCAGCAATACAAACCCTCAGCTACAAATCAGCATGCTCAGCGTTGCCAAGATCAACTGGGCAGGAGTCTATCATCTGACATCTCCAGACGTTGGG